TACAGAAGAGACGTGGCTAGGTGTGTTGACCTACCTTAAGTCAGAGCCTAGGGGGTGTGGATATGTGATCTGACCTACCTTAAGTCGGAGCCTAGAGGGTGTGGCTATGTGTGTTGACCTACCTTAAGTCAGAGCCTAAGGGCGTCGCTATACCGTATCCCTTGACGTCGAGGTTTCGGCCCACCTTCATGGTGTTGCACGGCTTCCGCTGGTTGTGGTACTCGTTGAAGGAAGAGTCCAGGAGGAAGGCGTACTTGCCCTGTGTGGTCAAGACATGTTTGTTTTAGTAGAGGTTTTACGCAACTGCATAAGGTCATATGAGCGCCAGAAGATTAGAGGTGTTACAAGAGAGTAACAAACATAAAAAAGAAGGGGAGATAAGGACGATAGATGTGTGATAGGAAAGAAGAAGCAGACCACACCAGAGCACCCGTCATCCACCCGCTCGGTCAAGACAGGAGTTCGTTTCTGTGACAGTTTTACGGGACTTGTGACATAATTACTTACTACCTTAGAATTATAAAGTTCCTTCTGACATTTCTGGCGGCTTTGAGTAAACAAGAGCCTACTAAGACAATGACTTCAGAAACCAAATGTTCTATCAGCTCTATTAAAATCGTAAGATTATTCAGAGTCGTTATCAAGATATTCAGAGAACTTCATTTGGATTGGCTTGACATGTTGTAAAACTCAAATTTTTACGTCAAATGTCTCTCAACTAGGTACTGATCAGATAGAACTTTGGAATTCTAGGAGAGCGTTACTGTAAATTACAAAAGGAATAATAACTCTCAGAGCCAATCTGGGTTAACAGAGATATTACGTCCTATCAGACAGACTCCTCACCGTCTTCAATAGCAAACATCTTGACTTCTATTGAAAATAGATGCGTTTTTTTTTACTTCATAAGCAAGCCAAATGAATAAGCTTTAAGATTGCCCAAAATTGAGGAGGGTCACTTTCCACACGACATGGCACACATAGGAGAAGTTTGGGAAGATGTGACTACAGCTTGTGCGACTGTTAAATCTTAGATTAGAGCATAGCGATTATGGCTTTGTTTAAATCTCTGTGGGATTAACATCGTATCTCGTTCGTACAAACAAAGATGAGACACAGCAATAAATATAGTTACGTACATGTTCATGCACACACGTACAGAGGATATTTAAGTCACTCACCTTCGAGTTCCGAACTCTCTCTATCCCCTCCTGTGTCGTCTTAACAAATACAGAGGGCTCCGTGTTCTTCATGAAGTTCCACATTTTCTCGTACACGGACACATTGCTTTGCTGGTGTTGTGATGGGTGACGGGGGGGGGGGGGGGGGGGGGGGG